GGCGTGCATGCTGCCTTCTGATCCGCGACGACGACGTGGAGGACTTGGTGGTTTCATCGGCGGCACCTCCGATCAGATCTGTTCTGACCGGTGCAGCCGGCGGTGGTGGTCATCTCTTCCGTCAGAGGTGGTCGGCCTGAGGCTAGGTGTTCGGATCTCGGGATCCGTCACCTGGCACCAGCTGCGAGTCGGGAAGACGTAGTTGCCTGTGAAAACCGAGCCGACGGCGGGCGATGGCGGCGTTCCACGTCATTACCTTGATGAAGGCATCGTCATGTGACTACCGTCGACCCACTCGTATTGCTCCGGGGGAAACCCTAGGATCTGGTGTTTCAGACCGGACGATGGCGGCACTGCGGTGTCGTTTCTCTCTTGGGAGCATCGTTTTGTGGAACAGCGCTGGAAGTCAGAGGCAGGAGGTGGAGCGGCTTCGTCTTGCACGGAACTTTAATGGAGATGTCAAGTCATGCCTGACCGACAGGTGCCACGTTTGGTCATGCATAGTCGGCAGGTGCTACGCACGACAGTGTTGGAACCGCTCTCTCACACGGATGGCCGGAGGTAGATGAAGGAGTACAAGCAGATAGTTTTGGTGGCCAGCCGCACACACAGCCTCGGTCTTTTCGCACTTCTATTCTCCTGGCACCGTCAAGCAAACATGGTACAACTCTTAAGTAGCAGACTCACGCATGCGTAGCCGGCCCGTCATCCTAGCCACTAACTGAATGACCCACACGACCTAGCATGCAGCGAACGAGCCCACGATCTAACTACCAGCTAACTCCATGCGCACGCAACGCGGTCCCTCGCGCACACCGCGTTCGCCCGCAACAGAACTGCCAATGCATCTAGCTAGCTAACGTGACTGTACCATCACGCCATACACACACACGCCACACATCCGCTACGTCCCGCGCACACCCGACGCGCCTGACGAGCCCGACACCATCAGTGCGTCCCTCACGTCCAGCGCGCATCCGACGCACCCGACGAGCCAGACCACACCAGCGACGTGGCTTATTCCAACAGACAGATCCTCCAAGGGCTTCAAGCTGTGTCGGCTGGTGGTACTTGGCAGCATGGCGCTGAGGTGTGTCAGTGGCGACCGCGACATGTTCAGCTATTTGCGCGCAGGGAGAAGGTGCCGTTGGGCGCCGTGGTGGCGTCGACGATAGCTGGACCGAGCAAGGTTGATGCATCAGTACCGTTCTGAAGATGAAGCGGTGGCAGTTGGCGGTGGCGGCCTCTGAGAGCACGCCGGACCAGTGTGTGCCCCAGACCTGGCAGGTGGCTAGGTTGGGGTCTCATGTCTTAGATGTTAGGCTTGGCTGCGATGTCTGTTTGGTATTACGCCCAGGCTATCTGCGCCCCTTAATCAACTGGATAGGTGTAGCGATAGTTTGTTGCTTAGACGGCGGCTTTAGTCTTACTGTTGTATGACTTTGTAAGGTCTTGTGAGAATAATTAATAAATGGCCGTATGCATCGTCCAAATGCAGAGGCCGAGGGTTATCCTCTTTTTCTAAAAAAAAAGATGCTTGTGGATCTCAAACTTTGAGCCAACGAAGTATAGCAGTTGTTGATAGACAGTATGATATTTCTCTCTCTCTCTCTCCAACTCATGTGATGTGGAGACTAGTGGGAATCTCTAGGATGTGAATTTGTGCATAAGCTCAGTCCAAGATTTGTATATATTTTCAAGGTATATATATTTATTCGGAATATGTTTAGCATGCCATACATTCCACAAAGGGGGATCAACTGAGAGTTACACATGGTTCCTTTTTTTTCTCTGTTGAGAAGAGAGGTTAAGCTCCTGGTCTGCCGGTGCCAGTTAGTTCCTCAGCGGCACAATTCCGAGCAGGCATTATTTCCTTTTTGGGGAAGTCATCCCTTGGTCAGACTTTCCATTAACTTCTGGAATATCCAGTTCCAACATTTCGAATTTCTAACTTTGGAAATTTCACAACTTCCAGTAATTCATACTTAAGGAATTTGGAACTTTTAGAAATTTTCAAACTTACATAATTTCATATTTCTCCAAAAAAAAAGTTAAAAGCGACATGCCCCCTCCCGGCTTGGGCGGTTGACCATGGCCATGGTCATGTGCCAGGAAGGCAGGAACCCCAAAATCCTGCTACCCTATATTCAAAGCATGTTGACCGGCGCCAAGCGAGATGGTTGCATCTTCCTCTCTGATGTGGTTGCCTCTTCCTTTTTGAGTTTCATTCTGATGGGAACGTCCAAAGTGTGCACTGGAGATGTTGAGAAACATACTCTTCTGAATTTTCAGGGGAAAAAGATACTCTTGTGAACTTTTTTCAAGGGGAAACAGTAACTATCCTACTGCATGTACATATAATTGTTCAAATGTCTGTACATGAAAGTGAAACAACAAAAGATTAAAAAATAAATAGAGAGTAGTATTCAAACATAGCCTTCAACCATGCTTGAAAATCATGATTACGGTTTATTTCTTGCACTGTGCATAACCATGGCAAGCTCTGCTTTCAAAATTTCTCTTGCATCTGTAGAGTGAGGTTTGGCTGGGTTTCGTGTGCCCCAAATTGCAAAGCCCAACTGATCAGAATAGCCAGCCACCTCAATTAATAAACAACAAAGTTTGCCCAGCCCAGGCCCAGCTGCTCTCTGGAGGACTGGAAGGAAGTCTTGAACTGATAGATCGAAGGCATCCACAAATTTACTGCCAGCAACTTGCAGCAAATGGGCACTAGAAGAAGAGACGATCCCTGGTCTCTATAGCTGTAAATTTGCACACACAACACAAGTGTAATCCTGCAAGAGAAAAATCTCCAGCTGCAGCTCTTCTGAATTTTCCAACCTTGAGCCAAGGAGAAAAATTGTACAGCAGCTATATAGTTTTTGAGGATTTGGCATCTCAGTTGCGGGAAGCCTGTTTGTGAAGAGCCGACGGTTTTGGTTGCCTGTCATCTTAAAAATTATCAGTTAAATTATGACCTTGTGCATCGATCAATTGACAGCTGGGAGTTCAAGGAACCTCTTTTTTCGAGGGAAAACAAGGAAAGCTTAGCACTGCATACATTCAGATCTGAAAGGGGTGTCTTGATTTAGATGTGCAAAAAAAGAATCTATGTTTGAACATGTCTTGGGATGCCAACACGGTTTAGACGGTGGCCTTTTTTTCCGACAACCGAAGGGGCGAGCTGTTCACTAAGAAAAACCATTTAGTTGAGGACTAGACTCAGCTGGGGTGCCGGTGGGTCGTATTGACTAGATTAGGTTACTAAAATACACCGACCATTTAAACTAGGGAATCATCCATCATGTACAGTTCATCTCTCGTAGATGCGCTTAAACTAGAACGGAGATGAGCTGGGTGACAGAGGTATGGGACATAATTAAGTGCAGCATCTTAATCACTGACGCTGTCCTTGCTAACATGCACAGAGATCATGTTCAAACTGGTGGTGGAGCTTAATTGCGCCTAAGTGCAGCATCCTAATCACTGATGCTGTCGTTGCTTACATTTCGCATCTAAATTACTTTTGTAAAGCACAAATAATACTGTGTATGTTCAATGGACATAAGTACAAAATCTGCCCTTCAGGTCCGATCAAGCAAAAGGCAGGCTGTTTTTTATAACATTGCAACAAAAATGTGCATCTACAATATCATGTCCTAAAATGTCAATCCAAATTCAGAGTTCCAGAAATAAAGATACAAAATCATGTGGCGCAAAGTAGTTGTGCAAGTAGATTTTGAGTTAGTCAGAGTACTATTTCATCACCACTCCTCATTCTGTTTCACGACACATGCATTAGTTGAAAGTGGAAGCTATACTTGAATTTTGTGATATATATATATGATAGATGAACCTTGTTTCGGTGCTGCTAAAAGGGCATGCTTACCTCTCCAGATGGCATGAATTACATATATGGAACAGAGTGAATTACAGGAGGACAGTGCCTGATTGCCAGGTTGACCACAAGGAAGCTTCGCTTCCCCTTCCCGTTCAAAGCGGTGCCGTGAACGCATTGATGATGAAGTTGACTAGCATATATATATATGCAATTAAATTGAAGATAGTGCGTCTCAACTTGCACAGCTTTCTGTTGTTAATTGGCATTAGCTCACAATATATGTACAGCCTGTTGGCACCTTCGAGTGGGAGAAAACTAACAACTTGTATACATGTAGTTTCTTTTTGCGGATGAAACTTGTATATATGTAGTTAAGTAGTGCAATAATGGTTTATTTATTTCAAAGACCAACGTTAACAGGGGGTCTTGGTCGCTTACTCGTACATGTATATGCATAAGTATGCTGAGCTAGTACAGATTTTTCTTTTTTACAATTTCGATTGTAATATGTCTACAGAATATTTAAAGGATATATCATACAAGAGAGTTTTGCAGAAATGTAGGGAAAGGCTGCGTACAATAGACCCAAAGTGGTCGGACCCTTCCCCAGACCCTGCGCAAGCGGGAGCTACATGCACTGGGGCTGCCCCTTTTTTATCATACAAGAGAGTTTTGCAAAAGAAATGTAATGGTAGTTCTTCGGTACTCAATATATATAAACATTATGGGGTACAAGTTCTAATTTTTTAAATGGGTGAGTTGATTGAATTAAGATAACCATTAAGCCTTGATTGACAGCACGCAGTATCATGTGCAGTTAACACTGTCAAAGCTTAGACCCACGCAATTAGTTGTACCAATGCACGTTGTACCATGTGCATTTAGCATGGTCAAAGTCTAGATCCACGCGATTAGCAGAACCAATGCACGTTATACCATGTGCACTTGATGCATGCGAGCTGTAGGGCTCCCGAGGCAAAAACTGAGCAAAATATATGAGAACTGAGGACAAGTTTCTTTGATCTCAGTTTCACTTAGAAACAACTATAAAGACGAGCGTGTGTGGACATAACTCACCCCACCCACCCACCCACACACACACACACAAAAAGCATTATTGTGCACAAACAAATCGAGCAACGATCTACTGAGAGCGACCATGGACCTCGCAACGGGGGCCATGGGCAGCCTGCTCCTCAAGCTTGGCGACCTCCTCACGGAGGAGTACAAGATGCAAACGGGCGTCAAGGAAGATGTTGAGTATCTCAAGAGAGAGCTGACAAGCATGTACGCAGCCCTCCGCAATGCTGGGGACGTCCCGCGGGATCAGCTCGACGAGCTGGTTAAGCTCTGGGCCGACAAAGTCAGGGACTTGTCGTTCATAATGGAGGACATCGTCGATAAGTTCCTGGTACGCGTCGAGGGAGCTGAACCTACCATCAAGCCACGCAAAATCAAGAAGCTCATGAAGAAGATGGAAAACTTGTTCACCAAGAGCAGGACTCGCCATGAGATCTCCGATGAGATCAGGGCAATCAAGGTCCGTGTCAAGGAGGCGGCTGACCGGCGTGATAGGTACAGGGTCAACGATGTGGTTCCAGTTACCACATCCACGGTTGACCCTCGCCTATTGGCTCTGTACAAAGATCGGAAAGAGCTTGTTGGAATTGATGGGGCCTTCAACAAGCTAACCGATATGCTGTCAGATGGGGATAATGATGTGTCCAAGAAACTCAAGATACTCTCTATTTTTGGATTCGGGGGGCTTGGCAAGACTACTCTTGCCAAAGCAGTGTATGATAAGCTCAGAGGGCAGTATGATTGCAGTGCTTTTGTCCCAGTTGGAAGGAACCCTAGCCTGAAGAAACTTCTTATGGACATTCTCTGTGGAATTGACAATCAAATGTGCCAAAATTCCAATTTATCGGCATTGGATGAAAGGCTGTTGATTGATAAACTTCCAGAATTTCTCGAGAGCAAGAGGTACGCATGCATCCTATTATCCCTTTTCATATGCATAAAGAAAAATGAAAGAGATTAGCTCCATGTAAGTTAAAAAATGTTTTCTAAGATGTACCATCTAACTTTAGGATCACATGTAAGGCAAACTACGAGCATTACTCGAGAACAAGTGGTACACATCAAGTTTCATATACATCAAATAAATGAAAAAAATAGCATCAAACGTCGCCAAGAAAGAGTTAAGGATGAGCAGTTAATTTTGTTTGAGATGTGTTAGACTGGTACACATCAAGTTTGTGTATCATGTTTTCCTACGTTCTTTGCTATCATTTGGGTCACGAGTGACTGTCCAATGTTCTCCAACATTCAAATATTTTATATGTTCTTACAATAAATGTAAATTCAACAATCGAGTTCTAGACGATGTCACATATATCGGGAAACTTAATCAGAACTAGACTTCTAGGCAAGGAAATGAAATCAAACTCGTGCAAGCATGTATGCATGTCTATCTTTTCTGGTTTTTATTCCATAATGCAAACTTGATAGTATTCTTTAAGGAGGATCTTTTCATACATGATCTCGTTTTTTTAATATCTTGTTACTTGTGTGCCTTACTAAATAACTTCACTAATTTATTATATGGCTCTTGCGCTATGAATGTGGCAGGTACTTCATCGTTATTGATGATATATGGGATACGGAAATATGGAAAACAGTCACGTGCGCTCTAGTGGATAATAATTGTGCAAGCAGGATAATTGCAACTACTCGTATTCTCGATGTCGCGAAAAAGGCTGGTGAAGTATACATGCTAGAACCACTTTCTCATGATTTATCTGAGGAGTTATTCCAGACAAGATTATTTGGTGGTAAAAACAAATGCCCTCATGATCTGCCAACAATGGCATACGGTAAAATTTTACATAAATGTGGTGGTGTACCGTTAGCTATAATCACCATGGCTAGTCTGCTTGTCAATAAACCAATGGATTTTTGGTCTAAGGTATACAACTCAATTGGTTTTGGGCACGAAGATAACAAAGATATTGAGAACACGAGAAAAATACTTCGGTTTAGCTATTATGATCTGCCTAGCCACTTAAGGACATGTTTACTGTACATGAGCATATACCCAGAAGACCACTTTATCAAGAAAAATACTTTGATATGGAAGTGGGTAACCGAAGGTTTTGTCCATGAGGAAACAGGGGCGGGATTATATGAGATTGGCGAGAGATACTTCACTGAGTTGGTAAACAGAAGCATGATACTGCCGGTAGAGACCCCGTATCAGGGCATCATATTTGGTTGTCGAGTCCATGATATGATGCTTGATATGATCTGTCTAGTTTCAAGGGAAGAAAACTTTGTTACTATATTGAGTAGTAACGAGCAATACACGTCTTCACATAGTAATGCTCGCAGGTTAGCAGTTGGACAGAGAGTCCAAAGTCTGGACAGTACACGTATGCCACAAGTAAGGTCATTTATTGCCATGTGCATTAGTGATCAGTTGCCACTGCTTTCATGTTTTAAAGTCTTGCGTGTCCTAGATTTAGAAGGCGTCATGTCCCGCCGTGGCCCTATCTATCTTGGGTATCTTGGAAAGTTAGTTCACTTGAGGTATCTCGGGCTGCAGAATATGCACGTTTGTGTGCTCCCTGAAGAAATAGGAGATCTGAAGTTGTTGCAGGTGCTGAACCTGAGTGGTAATGGCGACTTAACTGAACTGCCATGCAGTATTGGTCTACTAAGTCAACTCAAGTGCCTGAACATCGAGGGAACCGACATAAAAGTGCTAGATTGGATCGGGAACCTGACATCCTTGGAAGAGTTGTGTCTCACAAGGGTTGAAGACAAAGAGTTCTCAAACTTATTTGTGAATGAGCTCAGCAAGCTGACAGAGTTGAGGAAGCTCCGCATTAGTTGGAATTTATGCTTATATAGTGCTAGCTCAATGAGAGCTTGTGCGGAGTCATTAGCCAAACTGCAGAAAATCCAAGTCATAGATATTTTTAGAATGAACAAACCGATTACTGTCAATGGCAACAGCTGGTTGGAAGGTTATGTGCCCCCTCCGCAACTCCGTGTTCTACGCATGTCATGCAGAGAATCTGGGCTGTTAACAAAGATTAGTTCCTCACTTCTTCTGAACCTCACCCATCTATCAATACATGTGGAGAGTTCTGATCTGAAGATCTTTGGACTACTTCCAGAGCTTGTTACCCTCCGGTTGGACATGGTCGGCGTTGGACACCATGCTGTCACGGGGGGTGCAGGTGCATTCCCGAAGCTGAGGTTTTTCAAGACAGACGCAACCCTCGGCCAGTTTGCAGAAGGAGATATGCCACGCCTTAAATGGCTCTAGTTCAGCGTCACAGTGTGGAGTAAGTATGAAAACCTTCACTTTGACTTTGGTAGCTTGGGGAATCTCCCAGAGCTTCAGAAAGTCACAGCCCGTGTATGTTGTGGCCCTGATGTGGACACCGACAAGGTTGATGAAGCGGTGAAGCACGCAATTGAGATCCTCCCCAAGCGTCTCGTTCTTCGTTTCGCACATCAAGACAGTTTTCCAGACGAAGAAAAGGAAATTGAGGTCCTCCCCAAGCGCGGTTTCCCATCTGAAGAAGCCAAAGTCTGGGTCTTCTCAACAGGGAGGGTAAGTATTTGTCCATTCATGTTGATTTCCACAGGTAAGCTCGGTTTAATTTGTGTCACAGGCTAAAAGCGTACAACTACCGATTTTTCAGAGAGACGTGTGGATGCGTTGTGCCAGGTAGTGGAAGCTAGCTCTGCACGCATCTGCACTGTGGTAAGCTCCCCTTATCACGCTGCAACCTGCATCTCTTCCTGACGCAAAGAAACGCTAGTACATTTGCACATATATATTTCTTGTCATGTCATACTTGTACTTTATACACGTTATGTGACAGTTTTATTTCAAATATATAGGTTGGCAGTATTAACCAATCCCAGTGAAGAAAAAAGAAGATACAACATACTTCCACGGAAATATTACCAGCTGAATGGTTTTTTTTTTCGCTTGCGGAAAAACCACTTTCTTTAATTTTTGTTGCTGTACAATCTTTTATACTGTCATGTTGCCTTGAAAAAAAAGGGTCTCCTACAAAAAAATAATAATAGTTTGCATATTTTGTACTGGATGTTACATACGTCCTTAACTGTGTAGCTTAATTATTTGTCCAAACCAAAAAAAATAGTCTTACTTTCTGCAGAAAATCACAAAAAAGAGTATTGCTTGATTTGTGGCGTCGAGTAAAAGGTTGCTTTGGTTTTTCACTAATGAAAAAAAAGGAAAAAAAAAGGTCTTAGGTTCTTTGTACCATTTGGTTTTCTTTTGTAAATTGTTTTGTGTTCTGGGTTTGGAGGCAAGTGTGTATGTATGTGTTTTTGTGTTTGGGGTGGGTGGGTGGGGGGGGGGGTGTAACTCCGCCTATGCTAATATGGATGTTACACATCATGTTGCTTAGCCGGTCCCAAGCCCGGAAAAAGGAGGAGGGACCATAACATATCCACTCAAGGGGGAATATGGTGACCATTTTGTGTTCACAGTTCATTGTATATAATGTTATTGACATGAAGTAGTGGGGAAATTACCGAGGAAAATGTAACACCTGCTATTCCTTTGTAGCCTTCTCTGCCACACGATGTAAGTCTAGTCCTTGTTCATGTTTTGTAGAGAACACATGGTCTGCAGCTGAGGCTTATTTTCGGTATGTTTACTAGTCATCTGGAAATTTGATTAACTTCATGATCATTTCTCTCCATAATGCTTTATAAGGTTAGTTGCAGGCTACGTGCCTACTCAAGTTACTGTCCCTTTATTTTCTCCACAAAACCTGAGCATGCGGCCGATTTTAGAGAAGTATAGATAGCGGCGTAGCGCTCAATGGAAACTGAAGTACTACTTAATGTGAATTTCAAAATTTCGATCGTGAAAACGCGATGGAGCTAGGATAGAAACTTTTGTGCCATATGGGTCTGCAAAGAGCCAAATTAATGTAAAGCAGCCATGGCGCCTTAGGATTCATTGATAAAACGGTATGCAGCTAAACTCCCAAGAGGTACGTGGTGAATAACAGTTGTATTATGCTTTTTGTTAGTGAGAGAATTTGTCTTGCCAGCAACTTTGGTTGCATCTATCGCGTTCCTTTTTCATTTTTAAATATGGTTGCATCCATGTTGCCGGTTTCACTGAATTTGGTTGCATCTATCTCTTTCCTTTTTCATTTTTAAATATAGTTGCATCCATGTTGCCGGTTTCACTGAATTTGGTTGCATCTATCTCTTTCCTTTTTCATTTTTAAATATGGTTGCATCCACGTTGCCGGTTTCACTGAATTTGGTTGCATCTATCTCTTTCCTTTTTCATTTTTAAATATGGTTGCATCCATGTTGCCGGTTTCACTGAATTTGGTTGCATCTATCTCTTTCCTTTTT